AAAAAAAAAAAAAAAAAAAAAAAAAAAAAAAAAAGAAAAAGGTTTATGAGATGTGAAGTGATGATTAATTTTGAACTTAATGAGCCCAACAACATGAAAGTTTAACATCTTACAGGAAATTGGAAATGCAGGACTGGTATGCAGCTGTAATGGTCTGAAGACAGAGATTTAGGGGTCGTCATATACAATGATTATTTTCCTATGTAGAATGAATGATTTTCACTGTCTGGGGCCACCCACTATTGGAATATGAGGAAAAAAAAGAATCGGCAAATGAACTGGAACTATAAAATGTAAGGAGGAGAAAAGCCCCCTAAAAAATGGAATGCCAGAAGAAACAAGGTAACAGAAAGTTTAGAGGAGTAAGGGTGAACAAACTTGATGAACAAAGTATTTTTGGTTTTGGCAAAAACAGTGATCTTCAAAAGTGCGGTTTTTTTGTTTTGTTTTTTGAAATGGAATTTCTTGTTGCCCAGGCTGGAGTGCAATGGTGCCATCTTGGCTCACTGCAACCTCTGCCTCCCGGGTTCAAGCGATTCTCTTGCTTCAGCCTACCGAGTAGCTGGGATTACAGGCACCCGCCACCATGCCTACCTAATTTTTGTATTTTTAGTAGAGACGGGGTTTCACGATGTTGGCCAGGCTGGTCTTGACCTCCTGACCTCAGGTGATCCTTGAAATATTTATTAGTAACTGGAGGCAATAGGTGTAGATCACATTTCCAGGAGATTGGTCTCAGAAGGAATTAGATAAATTGGATTTAAACAGTTTTATTTTATTATACTTTAAGTTCTGGGGTACATGTGCAGAATGAAGAGTTTGTTACATAGGTATACATGTGTCATGGTAGTTTGCTGCATTCATCACCTTGTCATCTACATTAGGTATTTATCCTAATGCTATCCCTCCTCTATCCCCCACTCCCTGCTATCCCTCCTCTAGACCCCCACCCGGACAGGCCCTAGTGTGTGATGTTCCCCTTGTAAGCTGCAACTTATGAGTGAGAACATGCGGTGTTTGGTTTTCTGTTCTTGGGTCAGTTTGCTGAGAATGATGGTTTCCAGCTTTATTCGTGTTCCTGCAAAGGACATGAACTCGTCCTTTTTTATGGATGCATAGTATTCCATGGTGTATATTGGCCACATTTTCTTTATCCAGTCTATCATTGATGGGCATTTGGGTTGGTTCCAAAGTCTTTGCTATTGTGAAAAGTGCCGTAATAAACATATGTGTGCATGTGTCTTTATAATAGAATGATTTATAACACTTTTGGTATATACCCAATAATGGGGTTGCTGGGTCAAGTGGTATTTCTATTTCTAGATCCTTAAGGAATTGCCACATTGTTTTCCACAGCGGTTGAACTAATTGACACTCCCACCAACAGTGTAAAAGTGTTCCTAATTCTCCACATCCTCTCTAGCATCTGTTGTCTCCTACTGTTTTAATGTTTGCCATTCTGACTGGTGGGTGATGGTATCTCGATATGGTTTTGATTTGCATTTCTCTAATGATCAATGATGATGAGCTTTTTTTCATATGTTTGTTGGCTGCATAAATGTCTTCTTTTGAGAAGTATCTGTTCATATCTTTCGCCCACTTTTTGATGTTTTTTTTTTTTTCTTGTAAATTTTAGGTCTCCCTAGACTCTTGATTATCGCCCTTTATCAGATGAGTAGATTGCAAAAATTTTTTCTCATTCTCTTGGTTGCCAGTTTACTCTAATGATAGTTTCTTTTGCTGTGCAGAAGCTCTTTAGTTTAATTAGATCCCATTTTTCTATTTTGCCTTTTGTTGCCATTGCTTTTTGTGTTTTAGTCATGAAGTCCTTGCCCATGCCTATGTCCTGAATGATATTGCCTAGGTTTTCTTCTAGAGTTTTTATGGTGTTAGGTCTTATGTTTAAATCTTTAATCCATCTGGAATTAATTTTTGTATAAGGCGTGAGGAAGAGATCCAGTTTCAGCTTTCTGCATATGGCTAGCCAGTTTTCCCAATGCCGTTTATTAAATAGGGAATCCTTTTCCCATTGCTTGTTTTTGTCAGGTTTGTCAAAGATCAGATGGTTGTAGATGTATGGCGTTATTTCTGAGGCCTCTGTCTTGTTCTGTTGGTTGACATCTCTGTTTTGGTACCAGTACCATGCCGTTTTGATTACTGTAGACTTGTAGTATAGTTTGAAGTCAGGTAGCGTAATGCCTCCAGCTTTGTTCTTTTTCCTTAGGATTGTTTTGGCCATGCGGGCTCTTTTTTGGTTCCCTATGAAATTTAAGGTTTTTTTTTCCAATTCTGTGAAGAAATTGGTAGATTGATGGGGATAGCATTGAATCTGTAAATTACTTTGGGCAGTATGGCCATTTTTATGATATTGATTCTTCTTAACCATGAGCATGAAATGTTTTTCCATCTGTTTGTGTCCTCTCTTATTTCCTAGAGCAATGGTTTGTGGTTCTCCTTGAAGAGGTTCGTCACATCCTTTGTTAGTTGTATTCCTAGGTATTTTATTCTCTTTGTACCAATTTTGAATGGGAGTTCACTCATGATTGGCTCTCTGTCTGTTATTGGTGTATAGGAATGCTTGTGATTTTTGCACATTGATTTTGCTGAAGTTGCTTATCATCTTAAGGAGATTTGGGGCTGAGATGATGGGGTCTTCTAAATATACAATCATGTTGTCTGCAGGTAGAGACAATTTGAGTTTCTCTTTTTCCTAACTGAATACCCTTTATTTCTTTTTCTTGCCTGATTGCCCTGGCCAGAACTTCCAATATTATGTTGAATAGGAGTGGTGAGAGAGGGCATCCTTGTCTTGTGCCAGTTTTCAAAGGGAATGCTTCCAGTTTTTGCCCATTCAGTATGAGATTGGCTGTGGGTTTGTCATAAATAGCTCTTATTATTTTGAGATATGTTCCATCAATAACTAGTTTATTGAGAGCTTTTAGCATAAAGGGCTGTTGAATTTTTTCAAGACCTTCTCTGCGTCTATTGAGATAATCTTGTGGTTTTTATCTTTGATTCTGTTTATGTGATGCTTTACATATATAGATTTGTGTATGTTGAACCAGCCTTGCATCCCAGAGATGAAGCCGACTTGATCGTGATGGATAAGCTTTTTGATGTGCTGTTGGATTCAGTTTGCCAGTATTTTATTGAGGATTTTCACATCAATGTTCATCACAGATTTTGACCTGAAATTATCTTTTTTAGTTGTGTCTCTGCCAGGTTTTGGTATCAGGATGATGTTGGTCTTATAAAATGAGTTAGGGAGGATTCTCTCTTTTTTGTATTGTTTGGAATAGTTTCAGAAGGAATGGTACCAGCTCCTCTTTGTACCTCTGGGAGAATTGGCTGTGAATGCGTTGTGTCCCGGACTTTTTTTGATTGGTAGGCTGTTAATTGCTGCCGCAATTTCAGACCTTGTTATCAGTTTGTTCAGGGATTTGACTTCTTCCTGGTTTAGTCTTGGGAGGGTGTAAGTGTCCAGGAATTTATCCATTTCTCCTAGATTGACTGGTTTATTTGCATACAGGTATTTATAGTATTCTCTGATGGTAGTTTGTATTTCTGTGGGATTGGTGGTGATATCCCCTTTATCATTTTTTGTTGCATCTATTTGATTTTCTCTTTCTTCTTTATTAGTCTGGCTAGCGGTCTATGTATTTTGTTGATCTTTCCAAAAACCAGCTCCTGGATTCATTGATTTTTTTTTTTTTTTTTTTGAAGGGTCTTTTGTAAACACAAATTTTTAATGTTAGAAATACTAGAATATGCTTGGCGGTAGAAGAAAAGGATCCTGTGGAGGAGTGATTAGAGGTAATAGAGAGGTGAAGTACAGCCTGGTGTGGTGGTGCACACCTGTAGTCTCAGCTTCTCAAGAGGCTGATGTGGGAGGATTGCTTAAGCCCAGGAGGTCGAGACTGCAGTGAGAGTGGGCCACTGCATGCCAGCCTGGACAACAGAGTGAGACCCTGCTTCAAGAAAAGAGAGCTGAAGTACATATAGGAGATGGTGTCCAGGGGAGATACAAGTAAGAGGACCTCTTTCTTTCCGATTAGAAGGAATAGTATTGGGACAATAACATATTGAGTTAAGATATATTTATAACCTCTTGATTATTGTGCTGGGCAAAAGTACACATTCTTGAGTGTAAGTTGAGAAGGCAAAATAAGTACAAATCATTTACTAATCTTTAATTCATGGATTGGGCTATTTTATTTTACCTTAACATTTAATACTCAATGGATATGTTTTCTCAAAACCATCCCTCTTAGTGGTAATAGTCTTTTTCTCACCTAGATTTATTGCTAGATTTTGTAAAGTCACCTAGACTTTAAAATGTTTTTGGAAATCATAGCATTTCTCTTTATGGAGTCAAATTCAGCAGGGCTTATGTTGCCTCATAATTGATCCCTATTTAAAAGGCGTGTGAAGCAACATGTAGTTAAGTGCACTCATTGCAGAGTTAGACTGTCTGAATTCAGATCCTGGCTCTTCTACTCCAACTGGTTGACTTTGGCAAGCTACTTAATTTCTGCGACTTTCTATTTGTCAGCTGGGAGTATGATCTACTTCATGGGGTTGTTTGAGGATTAAATGAGAAAATATTTATAAAGGGCTTAGAAGAGTACCTGAAACATGATGAATGCTCAATAAGTGTTAGTGATTATTGTACCAAGTCACAAATTTGAGGGAAACATTCTGTGTAAGTAGGACTGATTAAAATTATCTTTGAAATAGGTAATTCAATATGCATTTAAAGCTAGGATGCTTTAGAGTAGCTGTTATTTAAATTGTGTGGTGGCTGGTCCGATGGTAGTGGGTTATCAGAACTTAATTAACAGTGTCACTAAAGTTGGTATACAACCCCCCACTGCTAAATTTGACTGGCAAAAAAAAAAAAAAATTGTGTGGTGTCTGGTGTAGTGCATTCACCACCACAGTCAAGGTACAGTTCCATCACCACAAGGAATTCTTGTGTTGCCTTCTTATAGTCACATTTATGCCCCTCCTACCCTCTTCCCCATCCCTAATCCCTGTCAGCCACTCATCTGTTCTTCATTCCTTTAATTTTGTCATTTAAAAATGTTGTATCTGTGAAATTTTAGAATATGTGATCTTTTTGGCTTGGCTTTACCATCCAAGTTGTTGCATGTATCAATAATTTGTTTCTTTTCATTGCTGAGTATTGTTACACGGTGTGGATGTACCACAGTTTATTTAATCATTCGCACACTGAGTTGTTTTCAGTTTTTGGCTATTATGAATAAAGCTACTATGGACATTTGTAAAAACAAATAAATTGTGTGGTATATGAACTTGCTCTGGACATTATTTGAACTTTAAGGACAAATAATGCTACATATTTAGTTTATGTATGTATTTATTTATTTATTAATTAGAGAGGGTCTTACTCTGTTGCCCAGGCTAAAGTGCAAAGCTCAGCAGGTTCTAACTCCTGGGTTCAAGCTGTCCTCCTGCCTCCGCCTCTGGAGTGGCCAGGTTAAATCTTTTTTTCTTGTTTGTTTTAAGAGATGGGGTCTTGCTATGTTGTCTATGCTAGGATTACATGTTTAATTTATAGAGTTTTGTGCAAGATATAAAGAGTATCCTAGTCTGACATACTGAAATGGAAGATACAGGTTGAGCATCCCTAATTAGAAAATCTGAAGTCTGAAATGCCCTATAACGTGAAACTTTTTGAGTGCCGACATGTTGCTGGAAGGAAATGTTCACTGGAGCATTTTGGATTTCAGATTTTCCGATTAAGGATGCTTGACCAGAGTAATACAAATATTCCAAAATCTGTGAAAATCTAAAATCCAAAAACATTTCTGGTCCCAAGCATTTCAGATAAGGGATGCTCAACCTGTACTATTTTAAATATAATAGTATTTAAATATAGGTCAGGCGCAGTGGCTTACATCTGTAATCCCAACACTTTGGGAGGCTGAGGCAGGTGGATCATCTGAGGTCAGGAGTTCGAGACCAGCCTAGCCAACATAGTGAAATCCCGTCTCTACTAAACAACAACAACAACAACAACAACAAATCAGCTGGGTGGGTGTGGTGGCAGGTGCCTGTAATCTCAGCTAATTTGGAGGCCGAGGCAGGAACCTGGGAGGCCAAGGTTGCAGTAAGCTGAGATCATGCCATTACACTCTAGCCTGGGCTAACAACAGCAAGACTCCGCCTCAAAATACATAAATAAATACAGTAATGTAACTTTATTTATAAAAAACTTTTCAAAAGGGTAACTGTGTAGTAGTTGAGACTAGTCATAACTTTTAAATGATAATTCCTATTGATGCAAATTGTATTTTAATTTTGTGTTTCTTTTTTTTCTTGAGAAGGTCTGGAATTCAGTGGCATGATCACAGCTCACTGCAGCCTTGACCTCCTGGGCTCATGCAACCCACTACTTTAGCCTCCTGAGTAGCTGGGACCACAGGCATGCACCACCACACCTGGCTGGTTATTTTTTATTTTTTGTAGAGATAGAGTCTCACAGTGTTGTTCAGGCTGACCCCAGACTCCTGGGCTCAAGTGATTCACCTGCCTCAGCTTCCCAAACTGTTGGGATTACAGTCATGAGCTACCATGCCTGGCCCTAATTTTGAAGTTGTATGAAATACTTCCGTTTAATTGAACCAATACTTGTTTCAACAATTAAAGGGCATGCAGCATTGTATTTGGGTAATTAAACAAGAGAAATATAAAGCATGGTTTCAGTGAAAGTAGGTTAGTTTTACTGGGGATACAAGAAATGCACACTAAAAAATGGTACAAGGAAGTATATAAACGGGCTAAAATGAGTGGTACAGACTGGGTGATTGAGGAAAGCTATGTATACTGGTATATCTCCAAGGATTTTGTAGAACATTTTTGAGGGATTTTTTTAGACTTATTTAGAGATGAGAGCTCATTAAGCATACACACACACGCACACTCTGCTTCCAGAAATGAGCTACTAATAACAGGTAACAGATATGTCATAACCTATGTATTTCATAGGTATTTCAGGACCAAGAGGTAAAAAAAACCCTGGTTTGAAAGGAGGTCAAATTTCTAGCATGGTCTTAAAGGTGGTGAGATGGGAAAAGGACACTTAAGATAGGGAATACAGTTGAGAAGCAAACCCCTGAAGATAAGAATATGTTTATGTCGTAGGTTGGAGAGAAGAATTATGAGGATAAGGAGAAGCTTAATTAGAAAGACCCAAAATACCCAGCAGAAGAGTTCAGGATTTGTCTTGTTACTGTAAAGGTTTTTGCTCAGATAAAAATAAAGTGCTATTTCTGGAAGAATGGATTACTCTTACATATGGAGAATTCTTAGTTGTGGCTAAGGAATTAGCTTTGTGAAAGGATGACAGATTCTTGAAAGAAAAACTCAGTAGAATGTGCTTAATGACTGTATGTTAAAGAATGAAGGAGGGGACTATATGAATTTAAGTTAGGAAGTTGACAAGAATTTGAAAATGGATCAGTAAGCTTTTGGAAGGAGGAGGAAAAGGAGTTTGAATTTAGTTTTGAACACATTTGTGTTTGAGGTATCTGTAAGATATTCATAAAAGTGGGCTCTAGCCAATGAGTTTGTGTTTCTTTTTTTTCTTAAGAGGGTCTTGTCCTGTCTGTCACCCAGGCCAGAATTGAGTGGCATGATGACAACTCACTGTAGCCTTGACTTTCTGGGCTCATGCAATCCTTCTACTTCAGCCTCTTGGTTTAAAAGTCAAAACTGGGGATAGGGAAGGGAAAAGAAAGAAGGAAAGAGAAAGGATTCCTTTATAGTGAGGAGACGAATCAGTGAAACTGTGAGCATGAATTAACATTTTAGTGCTTAGAATTCTGGTTTTATTTCTTCTTTTGTAGACAGACCATGGATTCTTATGATGCATCAGAATCAACTCCTAGACAAAGTACATCCTTAAGGCCTGAAGATTACTTTATAGGTGCCACTTTTCTGCAGAAACGATTAGAATCAGTTAGGAAGCAGACTTCATTTATCCCGACTCCACCTCGAAGGAAAATTCCCCATTGCTCACAGTTACAGGTATGCTTTTTGTGTTCCTTTGTGTTAGTCAATAATTGAGAGTATCTGTGAACAAAACATTTCAATTTTTCTAACTATAGTATTCTTAGTATCTTCTTAACCCTTCAGCTAATAAAATAAATGAGAAGCAAAGAAACAATTTCATAACTATCACTGCTACCTCTTTTATGTCTTTTATTTTTTATATTTTTATTTATTTACTTATTTTTAAAGTAATTTTCAAACATAGAACCCATATATACCAGGAGTTTTTATGTGCTTTAACCTCCTTTAATCGGAATCATGTCCACACTATTCTTTTTTTTAACTTTAAGTTTAGGGGTGTATGTGCAGGATGTGCAGGTTTGTTACATAGGTAAATGTGTGTCATGGGGGTTGGTTGTACAGATTATTTCATCACCCAGGTGTTCAGCTTAGTATCTGTTAGTTATTTTTCCTGCTTCTCTCCCTCCTCCCACCCTCCACCCCTGATAGGCCTCAGTGCGTGTTGTTCCCCTCTATACGTCCATGTGTTCTCATCATTTAGCTCCCACTTATAAGTGAGAACATGTGGTATTTGGTTTTCTGTTCCTTTGCTAGTTGGCTAAGGATAATGGCCTCCAGCTCCATCCATGTCCCTGCAAAGGATATGATCTCATTCATTTTTATGGCTGCATAATATTCCATGGTGTATATGTACCACATTTTCTTTATCTAGTCTGTCACTCATGGGCATTTAGGTTGATTCCATGTCTTTGGTATTGTGAATAGTGCTGCAGTGAGTATACACATGCATGTAGACTGATTTATATTCCTTTGGGTGTATACCCAGTAATGGGATTGGTGAGTCAGATAATATTTCTGTCTCTAGGCCTTTGAGGAATTGCCACACAGTCTTCCACAATGGTTGAACTAATTCACACTCCAACCATCAGTGTATAAGCATTCCTTTTTCTCCACAACCTCACCAGCATCTGTTATTTTTTGACTTTTTATTTTTCTCCACAACCTTGCCAGCATCTGTTGTTTTTTTACTTTTTAATAATAGCCATTCTGGGCCGGGCGCGGTGGCTCAAGCCTGTAATCCCAGCACTTTGGGAGGCCGAGGCGGGTGGATCACGAGGTCAAGAGATTGAGACCATCCTGGTCAACATGGTGAAACCCCGTCTCTACGAAAAATACAAAAACATTAGCTGGGCATGGGGCGCGTGCCTGTAATCCCAGCTACTGAGGAGGTTGAGGCAGGAGAATTGCCTGAACCCAGGAGGTGGAGGTTGCGGTGAGCCGAGATCGCGCCATTGCACTCCAGCCTGGGTAACAAGAGTGAAACTCCGTCTCAAAAAAAAAAAATAATAATAATAGCCATTCTGACTGGTGTGAGATGGTATCTCATTGTGGTTTTGATTTGCATTTCTCTAATGATCAGTGTTGTTGAATTTTTTTTCATATGATTTTTGGCCTCATGTATGTCTTCTTTTGAGGAGTGTCTGTTTATGTCCTTTGCTGACTTTTTAATGGGGTTGTTTTTTTCCTTTTTTTTTTTGAGAGAGTCTCACTGTGTCACCTAGGCTGGAGTGCGGCGGCACAATCTTGGCTAACTGCAATCTCCACCTCCTGGATTCAAGCAATTCTCCTGCCTCGGCCTCCCAGGTAGCTGGGATTATAGGCCATCCACTGCCACGCCTGGCTAATTTTTTTGCATTTTTAGTAGAGACAGGGTTTCACCATGTTGACCAGGCTGGTCTGGAACTCTTAACCTCAGGTGATTCACCTGCCTTGACCTCCCAAAGTGCTGGGCTTATAGGTGTGAGCCACTGTGCCTGGCCCATTTTTTTTTTCTTTTAAATTTAAGTTCCTTATTGGTGCTGGATAGTAGACCTTCGTCAGATGCCTGGTTTGCAAAAATTTTCTCCCATTCTGTAAGTTTTCTGTTTCCTCTAGTGATAGTTTCTTTTGCTCTGCAGAAGCTCTTAAGTTTAATTAGATCCCATATGTCAATTTTTGCTTTCATTGCAATTGCTTTTGGTGTGTTTGTCATGAAATCTTTGCTTGTACTTATGTCCTGAATGGTATTGCCTAGGTATTTTCCAGGGTTTTTATAGTTTTGTGTTTTACATTTGTGTCTTTAATCCCCTTGAGTTAATTTTTGCATATGGTATAAGGAAGGGGTCCAGTTTCAATTTTCTGCATTTGGCTAGTCAGTTATCCCAGCACCGTTTATTGAATAGGGAACCCTTTCCCCTTGCTTTTTTTTGTCAGGTTTGTCCATAGTATTTCTTTGTCTTTAATGACATTGACATTTTTAAAGAATACAGTATAGCGTTCTTTTTTCTTTTTAAGTATTATGTTCCTCATTTTGTATTTGTCTGGTGTTTTCTCATGATTAAATTGAAATTGTTATTTTTGGCTAGAGTACTGCATAGGCGCTGTTGTATCATTGGGGAATCACATCTGAAGGCACACAGGTGACATTAATTTTGATCATTCTGTTAAGGAGTTGTCCAGTTGTTGGAGCTGGGAAGACTATGACAGGAAGTATGGACTCGATAAAAAAATTCAGTTTGGAAGGAAACTAGGAACCTATATGGGGGCCTATATGAAGACCCTGAACAATGTCATGGGGCCAATACAAATGAAATATTTTTGTTTTTAATGGTACTTGTGGTTCTAATAGAGCATGGTAAAAAATATTCCCAAGTATCTTTTTTTCTTTTTTTTTAGACTAGTGCAGTAGTGAGAGGGGGAAAGAGTAGAACAAGGAGTTGGAAACAAGGAGTTTGATCTATAACTGATTGTGAACATTGAGCTGAGATAACTCAACTACCTTTGGACCAGCCCCCAAGTATCTTTCTATTTAATCTGTTGAATTGGGCATGGTGTTATAGAGTAGATTTACAGCCAAACAATTTTTTTTTTTTTTTTTTTTTTTTTGAGACAGAGTCTTGCTCTGCCACTCAGGCTGGAGTGTAGTGGCGCGTTCTTGGCTCACTGCAACCTCTACCTCCAGGATTCAAACAGTTCTGCCTCAGGCTCCCTAGAAGCTGTGACTATAGGCACACACTACCACACCCAACTTTTTTTTCTATTTTTAGTAGAGACAGGGTTTCACCATGTTGGCCAGACTGGTCTCAAACTCCTGACCTCGTGATCCACCCGCCTTAGCTTCCCAAAGTGCTGGGATTACAGGCGTGAGCCACGGCATCCAGCCTAAATCATTTTTTAAATTACTTAAGGCTAATCAAATTAGATACTTTAGGAATAGTTACTATTTTTGAAATCTATAATTTGAAGTTTCTAAAAATAAAACATGTTAAATATTTATTGAACACTTGTTCTAGATAGCATTGTTCTAAAGAGAACTAAATAGACAAAAATCAGTGCAGTCATCAAGCTCATACTCCGGTAGAGAAGACAGATAGTCAAAATAAAAAAAAAATTACAAGAATATAATGTTGGGTAGTAGTAAGTGCTGTGAAGAAAAATAAAGCCAGGTGAGGTGATACAAAAACTGGAATAGGTGCAGGTGCTACTTTCAATAGAGTGGCCTCTTGGGTTACATTTGGGCAGCGAACTGAATGAAGTGAACAAACATGCCATGTGAACACTTGGGCATTCTAAAGAGAAGGTACAGGCGGTGGCTCACGCCTGTAATCCCAGCACTTTGGGAGGCCGAGGCGGGTGGATCACGAGGTCAAGTGATCGAGACCATCCTGGTCAACATGGTGAAACCCCGTCTCTACTAAAAATACAAAAAATTAGCTGGGCATGGTGGCGTGTGCCTGTAAGCCCAGCTACTCAGGAGGCTGAGGCA